ATAGTTTCAAGTATGGGTTTTCTTAATACATAATATTTTTCTATAGAAATTCATAACTTACACTTAGATTTTTAGAGTTGTGATAGAGATGGGGAGGCAAAAAAAATGAAAAATAGCAATAAAAAAACAAATGCTTTGCAGGAAATGGTTGTGCATGTCTTTAGTCCCAGCATTTGGGAGGCAGAGGCAGGCCTGTCTGTGAGTTCAAAGCTGATCCAGTATATATAGTGAGTTCAGGCCAGCTAGGGGTATATAGTGAGACTGTGTCTCCAAAGCCAAAAAAAAAAAAAAAAAAACCCGTTTTAATGACTTAACTGGTAGGCTAAAATGCATAAGAAAATCATTCTCGGGCTGAAGACTTGGCTCAGGGGTTCACTGGCTTCTCTAGCAGAGGACCGGGTTCAGTTCCCAACACCTACAAAGTGGCTAAAAACTGTTGTAACTCTAGTTCTGGGGGATCTGATGCCTCTTCTGGCCTCCACAGGCATTGCACAATGTGGGTACATTTACATACATATATGTAGGCAAAACACTCATACACATAAAATTCTTAAAAATGAAAATTCTTGGAAAAATCAAGATATTTAAATGATCCATTAGATCCAAAATTATAATCCATGTAAGTGGCAAGGATGGAGTTGTATCATGTAGTATTTCATATGAATATTTCATATGAGTAAAATGTTACATATTAACTACACATATGAAATCAAAACTATTCAAATAAAAAAACAAGTAAGCAATTGATAAGGCATAGGTTAGTGTGGCTATTTCCTCCCAGTTAAAGTATTTCCTACTCCATTCAAGAAACTAAAGAAATTTTAGAAGTCTAGGAAACTCAGAAAATTACAAGATTCTCAAGGTCCTTTCTGAAACTATAAACAATTTCAGGGGGTCGGGGGAGAGGAGACCCTCAGGTAGAGTAGCCTTCCTGATTGCCACCCATACTGAGGTGAGCTTTTGATGAGCTGGCTTTGTTGGTCAAACTCCTATTTGGGGTGAAAAGATGTTTGTTCATGTCTCCCACAAAAAGCCACACAACCCAGGTCAAAATTTTTCAAGAAAGCAAAAATTTGATGGGGGATTGTAATAATTATCTTTAAAATTCCCCAGGAATTGTATCACATAAGAGGCTGGAGAGATGGCTCAGTGGTTAAGAGCACTGGCTGCTCTTGCAGAGGACTCAGGTTCCATTCCCAGCACCCACATGGTGGCCAACAACCTTCTGTAACTCCAGTTCCAGGGGACCCAACGCCCTCTTCTGATCTCTGCGGGCACTGCATGACACAGGCGCACTTATACACATGCAGGCAATACACTCATACACATGGGAGGGAGGGAGGGAGGGAGGGGAGGCACTTATGATATGGACAGAATCTGGACTAAGAACTCTTCCTTAACCTTGCACCAAAAAGCTACTGTTTATAATGCAAAAAACCTCACTGAGGTATGTGCTCTTATGACCTGGGCATGTGATTTTAATCCCTCAAAACCCCACTTTGCCCTCCACCCACCACAGTGAATGACTGCGGGTATGCTTGAATTAGCATTGCAAAGCACTGTAAGCATATCCATACTTGTACTCTCATTGGAAGCAATGCGAATTGAGAAGTATGCTTGGCATTGTGTGTATGAGATATTTCGGGTCTGGGGATTAAAAGGTAAGATTCTCTGATATGGGTGGGGTCAACCTTGTAGTTCCCTACTTCAAGCTGGAGAGACTACTTGAATAAAAGTGTGGGTGAGGCCTGGCTCATCAGGAGCATGAGAGACCTGAAGGAACAGACTCTCAGAGTTCAGGCCCACTCTTAAAACTAACACTATGAGTCTGGCTGATTCTTTATTCAGGTCCAACTGTAACGTAACTTAGAAATGCCACAATATCCAGACTACATTTGATATTTTATTATCATTTAAGTGAATTATTTTTAAAGAAATTCAGGGCATCAAATAATCAAAAGGCACAAGACCATGGGTTATTATCCGTACCTATGGAAAATTAGTTTTAAGAAGTCACAAAAATATTGATATTCAGATTTTAATTCAGAACTAGGAGTATATTTCCAGTGATAATGCCATTTTCCATGAGTTTAAACAGAGTAATTGAGAATGAATTTGGAGAGCTTACGTCAAACTAAATCTGTGTGTTGTATCAGGTGTTCTCGTCTGATGTGGAAAAAGCAAATAGCAAGTGTGGCTTAAAACTACAGTCGACAAGCTATCTATAATGAAATCCAAGCACAGTAAATATTAATGAAATAATATGTCTATTAGCTACTCCACTCCTAAATTGATTTGACAAGATGGGAGAGTTGTTTATTCAGCAGGAGCCAGATAAATCGAATTTTTTTGTTGTTTGCTACATAATGCCAAGCACTAATGTGCTGGGAACCCATCCATATGGGAATGAAGGTTCCAAGTACTGTTTTGTGACTTCGTTTGAAAATATTTTCCTTCCTGTTGTATTTGAGTCAAGTTTCAAGGTCTCCCAGGTATTCATAAGCACAAAGCAACTCAAGCTCTCTTTTGAGTAATAAAAAAAAAAGGTCTTATCAGAAAAAAATTCCCAGGATGGCTCACTGGGTCAAGCGCTCATTGTCAGGCGTGATAACCTGCATTTGATCCCTGAGCCCTACATGGTGGAAGGAAAGAACCAAATCTGGCAAATTGTTCCCTGAACTCTACACACACACACAGGCTCACTGGTCAGCCAGTCTGACCTCTACACACACACACACACACACACACACACACACACACACACAGGCTCACTAGTCAGCCAGTCTGGTTCACCCTTGTAAGTTTCAAGGCAGTGAAAAAATGCACTTGCATACAGAGAGAGAGAGAGAGAGAGAGAGAGAGAGAGAGAGAGAGAGAGTAATCCAGTGGCAGAGTAAAAAAGCATAAATTATTCTGCCATTCACACCATGAAAGACTATTGTAAAAAAGTAACTCCTAAAAGCCAACAAAAACATCATAAGCCTTTTGGGAACATACAAATGACTGGAAATCAGCTGAGAGATGCAGACCTTGCAGATACTATCCTTCAAATGAGGCTTTCTGAAAGTCACACAGATGAATCCTGTAGGTCCAGCCACTATACGTAGACAATACTAGGGTAATCAACATGCTATGAAGCCAAGCAACAGTGGTGCACTTAGGAGGCTAAGGCAGGAGGATCGCTGTTTGAGGCTTGCCTGTCTCGAAAACAAAGAACACGTGTGGGTATGGTGGTATGCACCCACTGCTCAGGAAGTAGAAGCAGAAGCATCAATGCCACACCATCCTCAGCTACACAGTAAGTTAGAGGCCAGGCTAGGTAAATGAGACCGATTCGAAAAGAGAAGGAAAAAAAAAACAAACACCACATGAGCTCAGTATCTAGACAACACACAGAAGACATTCTGGGTACATAGCAAAAACCAAAACAAGAAAATTCATTAGACCATACAGTAAATGGTTTCATCCTCTCACAGAATCCTGTATAGAAAGGCGGCTCTATACAGGTACTTGTGCCTCTATAAGTGTAAAGGGCCATCTGCATGGCAACCAAGAAGCTGCTAACTGTAAACCCATCACTAAGTAGTGGAAACAAACTGGTAGTGCGAAAACTTTTGTTGCATATTTTGACAGTGCTTTTAATTCTCAACAGAGAACACCACTGAGAACACAAAAGGCAAAACTTTTCCAACCTACCTGAAAACTGTTCAAAGAAGGGGGGAGGCACCCCCATCTTGCTTTAATTACAAATTCTTGCTTAAGTAATTTTCTCAGAACTGTGAATCGGATGGAGACAACAGATTACGCCCAGTACAGCAACTCTGAAAAAGTGAACCTCTCCAAAGATACCTGAACACTTGTTACAACATAACTCTTTTCTCCCATCAGTGCCTGCACTTGTTATTAGAAATCACAATTGTCTTGCTCCGGGTAAAGTCTCTTTAGGGTTAGAAGCTGTCAGCAGGCACCAATCAGCTAGCAGAGGCTTTTTTCATCCCTCTCTTCAGGCTTTTCAGAGCTAGTCTGGTCTGAGACTAGTGACTGCTCCCTGGAGCAAACAGTGGTCCTTCTTTGTTCCGATGCTGCAATGTCAAGGCATCAAATACACACCAGCATCCTGCTCAGCATGAATGAATACACTAACCCAAATCAGATGTTCTCCAAGGACTTTTTAGAACTACAGAAAAAGTAGTTTCATGATCCTGATGTTGGGGCTTGGAATTTTAAAAATTTAGCATTATGCATTTTTGTTTTTATCAACTGCAGACTGAGCCCAGAGATTCATGTATATTAGGCAGGTATTCTACCACTGAGCTACAGCGCTAGCCCTAAAATCTGGTTTTAGATCATTTATGTCAAAGACAGGTACAGGGGTACACCTGCAGTCCCAGCTACTCGGAGGATGATCACTTGTGTCTGTAAGTTCAAGACCATCTAGGTCAACATAGCGAGATCTCTCTTCTCCCTCTGTGTCTCTGTCAACGCCGGGTGTGGTTACACACACCTATAGTCCCAGAACAGGGAGACTGAGGAGGGAAGGTCACCAGAACTCAAGATGGAGACCAGCCTGTCAACAGTGAGCCTGTATCTCAAAATAAACAAACTTAATATATGGCAAGTGTACTGTAAAGTTGAAAAGAACTCCTTATAGTGTTCTTAAATTTGATCTAGAATCTTCTTATGGTCTTCTGAAGAGCAATTAAAATCAGGCTGATACTTCATAATTTTTTTATTACATTAACTACTACTACATAGATAATCCCAGTGAGAGAATCAACAAATTCCCAAGAAGCTACCCTTGGTTTTTAAGGCACAGCATGAAGAATCTAATTATTTTTTTTCATATGGTAGAATGTGGTTTAAATACATGTGGGATGGGATACAAACCAGTCTCAAAAGCACTAAGGACATGTTCCACCACTGAGCTATATATACATCCCCAGCCTCCTAGCTTTAAGGTGTGAAGAATGTGCAGTCAAAACATAAGTTTACACTGAACATATGTGGAAAAGTTATTTAATTGTAAAATAGAAAAGTAGGCCAGAATACAGTTTTAAGGGTAACTGGTTCTTTATACAGATAATCTAGAGGGGTTTTAGGGTTAAACATTTTCATAACGTAATAAAACAAAAAAAAGAGACGGGTTTGAAGTTTTATGTTTTACAAAAAAGAATGGAACAGTCTGTCAGAGTTTAATGTCCATACACATGGAATTCAACATCAAGAGAGCTAGTCACAGCACAGACCTGGAGCTTCCAGAGGGAAAGTGAAAGTTACATTAAACATAGCTATAACATCACTGCAGTACAAAAAGTTCTTGTTCTACATACAAAAGCAATTTTCCATAAGAATAATTTCTTAGGGAGGGGAATAAGTCCATGAAATATTCAGAAACCCAATGCATTGAGTTTGCCAAAAACATTATCTTAAAATCCAGTGCCTTAAAGTGCTTTCATGTGGAAATCATGATGGAAGGCACAGAATACAGTTTCACGTCCCCACAATGAAATTTTCAAAAAAGCATAGATTTTGCAGAGTTTGCAAATTCAAGTTATCTTGTAAGCTGCTCCTTCCAAGAACATTGTCATCCCAATAAAACCAGCTTCGCGCTCACTTAGCTTCAAGGACCTACAGAATGACACGTTGCCTTCTTTTCCCTTTTTTTCTGATAACTTTCATCATCTTTGTGGGAACATACCTAAGCAAGTGATGTGTTTTAAAATTATAAAACATGCAGAATATGTACAAACAAAATTTTTAAAAATATTTGCTTCATATACATGTAAATCTACTTGGCTATAGCTGAAATTGAACAGATATAAAATTTTTGCTTCCTAAAAAAATGTTTTCAGAGAACCTGAGACAACTTAAAAGCTGTACAAAGAGTTCCTAGGAAAAACCTTCTCTTCACACAGAGTATTTCCAGCATCAGTCCACCATAATTATAACACAACATTTGGTCTAATCAACAAAGATCACCCTTAAAACTGTTGTTTCTGAGAAATTAAGTCAGTACTGAAATCAAAACGAATTCACCATAACAGTGGCTTACTGTGTTTTTTGGATCTCAACAATCTTTATCAACTCATTTGCAACTGTAAAAAAAAAAAAAACTTCAAAAACTATTTACAGAATTCAGTTTTAAATACATTTCACAACTTCTAAAGTTTTATATTATAAGAATTCAGAGCTCATGGCTTAAGTCCTGTTATCAACCTGTCGTCTCTTCTGTCCCATGACTGTACCCTACAGTGTAGAGTTCAAGACTGCATTTTTTCTTGATAAAAAGTAAAACCAAACTCATTTTCCTGTGACGTTAAACGGCTTCTTTACTAGTCTGAAGGCGAGTCATTGCTTCCAGCCTCTGTCTGTAGGCCTCCGCTTCCTGCTCCTTCTTAAGAAGTTGCTGCCGGTATTTTTGTGCTTCTCGGTTTGCTTCATCCAGCTGTTTCTGAAGAGCTTCCCTCTCCTATTAAAAAAAAGTGTTTTCTTTCAATTTTCCAAAATACGTTAACACAATCACGTGTCCTTCAAAGAAAAACAATCTGCAGTGATCAGAGCAGCCAGCTATTGGTATTTCTTTCACTTTTTGTCTTTTTAGTCAATTCAAAAGTATTTTGCACTCCATAATGAGATGTAGATTACACTCTAATTGCAAAAAAAATTATCTCCTAACTAAAACTATGAATAAAAATAAGCACAAATTGATTACCTATATCTTTATACGTACTAAAACAACTTATAGACGAGGTAAAAGGAAAATGTACAACCTACTCCTTACTATCTATTCATGATGTGTTCATTATAAGGGAACGATTACAAACTACGTTACTGAGCACACAAAGGGAACCCCAGCAACACGCTCCTCACATGGTCCATGCTATGAAAGAGAAAAATAATGCTGAAAGATGATGTAGCTTTTCCAAACATACAGTTAGGATTTGGGTTTATGGGATTCAAATACCACTAATTTTAAAACTACCCATTCTCCCCTATAATACCAAGCAATATACTTTAATTTCAACATGAAGGGTGCTAGTCTAGGTTTGCTAAATCATACCATTGGGCAGGCAAACTAGTAAAATGCTATCTCTTTAATGAACTGCAGTAGAGACCTCTATTGTTAGGAATAAAATATATGTTTTAACTGCTCAATTCTTGAGTTAATATACAGAGTCCAGTGAAAATGGTATCTCTGTTCCTTCTCTTCATTCTGTCCCTATTCAGTTATAAAGGAAAACAAAGGCAAACATGTCCAAGAACCCTTTCCTACACCTCTAGTAAGTACATAGATAACAGCTAATCCACCCAGGCTCCACCTCAGGAAGTTTCCAGTCTTAGGAATGAAGTAATCTCATTACAAAGGCCTTCTACTCTGGTGGGGGCCACAGTAGAACTATAAATTACTAGGCTAGGTTCACACTGGACAAGACACATGCCCAGAGGGAGTAGAAGGCAGGCAGCTCCTAGGAAAGGACAGGCTGAGGGTCACTTCCTATATACCCACCATCGCCTGACACCTGCTCATACTAAACACCCAGACAAGGAAGCACACACACATAATCCTCCTGATTTCCTATGATCCCACCTGCTGTCCTACACCAGGAATGAAGTTAGAACCAGCATTTTTTTTTTTTTTTTTTTTTGTCTTTTTGAGACAGGGTCTCATTGTAGCCCCAGCTGTCCTAGAACTCACTATATAGACCGGGCTGGCCTTGAACTCAGAGAGATCTCCCTGCCTCTGCCTCCGAAGTGCTGGGATTAAAGGCGAGCGCCACCATGCCTGGCTCTAGAGTCAACGTCTTTTGTTTGTTTTTTTTTCAGCTTTTTTTCCTATGGGTCCACCAGATATGGAAGTGAAAGATTATACAAGCAGTCCACAAATTTCTAATTAAGCAAAATGTACAACAAAAGGTTGTACAATAAATGAATCTCTTGTCTCTGGATTAATCAATGGCCAGACACCACACTACCCTAATTCCCAACCTTACATCCTTGCTACCCTTTTCTTATACCCTTCCCAGACTCTGGAAAAGATGAAAGTCAGGAAGAATGTCTAAGCATTCAGGTAAGCCATTAACACTAGAAATGCCTGTCAACTATGCAAGACTTTGAGCTTGCCAATGAGAGAGTGGAACGCGGGGCTTTCTGCTGTTTCCCCAGGAGCAAGGCCTCCTTCTGACAGTAGGTTTAGCCACATTTAAGTGTCTTATGTTTCTATCTGTTAAGAAATAGGGTATTTTGGGAGTCCATATTTTGAATGTACATAAAATTTTCCCCAACTGCATAGGGAATATTATAACAGGCTGTCAAGTATCTTCTAGCATTAGCAAGAGGTTTATTATTATTGAGGTAGATGGAAGCAAAATGAGATAAGTCTAAGCATGAAGATGGTTTACTTCTATCCTCCTCATCTCAAATTTTTATTTCAAGTCCGTGTGTGTGTGTGTGCGTGTGTGTCTCTGTGTGTGTCTCTATGTGTGTACTAGTCATTACACACACACACACCATTCCAGCTGGGGATCTCTCTCTCTCTCTCCCTCCCTCCCTCTCTCTCCCTCTCTCTCTCTCTCTCTCTCTCTCGCTCTCTCACACACACACACACACACCATTCCTGCTGGGGATCTCTCTCTCTCTCTCTCTCTCTCTCGCTCTCTCACACACACACACACACACCATTCCTGCTGGGGATCTCTCTCTCTCTCTCTCTCTCTCTCGCACCCACACACACACACACCATTCCTGCTGGGGATCAAACCCAGGGCCTCACACATGGTAGGCACGTACTCAACCACTGAGCAGTAACACCAGCCCTGAGAAGCAAAACACATTTTAATATAAACAAAATAGTAACTCCCTAGGCCAAATAAAAGACATAGCTACTTTTTTTTTTTGTCTAAATCTGTAAGATATGAAAGACAAAGATCATTAGTGGTATTCATTGAATACATCAAAAACATGACTAATATTACAAAATGAGTTTTAGTGTTTTCATTTTTTACTTACTTCTCATGAACACAGGTATATGGGAAGAGAATCTTTTTGCAATCTCACTTTTCAAAGCAAATAAAAATCTCTGAAAAGTGGAAAATATTACTTTGTATTTTACTAAAAGATTTTTGTTTCTGCTCTTCATATATTTACTTAATATATATATATTACATGCAAGACAATTTCTTAATGTAAGTAGCAAATTGGTTGTTTCAAACATCAACAGGCCAACAGTTGAGATTTTTATTTAAATAGAAACGTTAATCCCATGGCTTTAATAATTTGTAGTAAAACCATACTACCATACTAAAAATGATTTTGGTATTTTTGTTTTTAACATTTATTTATTATGTGTGAGTGTATGTGTATACACACACATGCCACAGCATGCTTGTGGAGGTAAGAGGACTTTATGGAGTGAGTTCTTTCCTTCCACTTACATGGGTTTGGGGAAATCAAACTCAGGTTGTCAGGCTTGCACCACAAGCACCTCTACCCACTGAGCCATCTTGCTAGCCCAATTTTGATATTTTTAAGTAAACATCATTTAGTCTATTAATAGGTACTAAATACTTTTCTAGGGACTGAAGTTATAGCTTTGTAGCAGAGTACATGCTTAGCATCCATGAAGCCCTGAGTTCATTACCAGCACTGGCAGGGGGTGGACGGTGAAGGATTTTTCTGTGAGAAATGTAACCCTAAAGAATCTAAGAGGGGCTGAAGAGATGGCTCAGTGGTTAACAGCACTAGTTGCTCTTGCAGAGGACCCAGGTTTGGTTTCTAGCACCCATAAAGTAGCTCACAACAGTCATTAACTCCAGTTCCAGGGGATCTACCACCCTCTTCTGGCCTCTGCAAGCACTTGGACAAGCAAAACATTCATACACATAAAACTAAATCCTAGGCCAGGCATGGTGGCGCTCGCCTTTACTCCCAGCACTTGGGGGGCAGAGGCAAGCAGATCTCTGTGAGTTCAAGGCCAGCCTGATCTACACAGTAAGTTCCAGGCTAGCCAGAGCTAGATAGTGAGACCTCAACAACAACAAACAAACAAACAAAAGCCCTAAATCCTATGATAATCACACTGGTGGCAGTAAGGAAGGAACCTATATATACCACAACCCCAAATCATCATATTAGGAGAAATTTCACCTTGTTTTATTTTCAAAGATAATTCTCTAATTCTGCCTTAGTTAGAAGCAATGATATGTGAAAATTTAACCATTTAATATATAATTTTCTAATATCCAAATTTGTATCTTTTTTCTAGCTATTATAAACCAAGATCATTATACTGTTTTATTCTCTACCTCAACATAAATTTTAGGATGATCTTGATAGCAAGTAATGTAGCCCCAGCTGGCCTGAACTCACTATGTGGATAAGGCTGGTCTCGATCTAACAGGGATCTTCCTACCTCTGCCTGCCAGGTGCTAAGATTAAGGGGTGTACCACCATGCCTGGTTGGGGCTTTATTTTATTTCTACTTTTTAAAATCTCACTTAAGGGGCTGGAGAGATGGCACAGCAGTTAAGAGCGCTGACCGCTCTTGCAGAGGACCCAGGTTTGATTCCCAGCACCCACACTGCAGCTAACAACTATCCATAACTCCAGTTCCAGGGGATCCAATGCCTTCTTCTGGCCTCTGCGGGCATTGCACAATTCAGGTGCACTTACATACATGCAGGCAGACCACTCATACCCATAAAAGTAACAATATATTTTTAAAATCTTGTTTAATCTTTACAACGATCTTCTATTGCTGGTGCTATTGTTTTTCCATTTTCATTGATGAGAAGCTATACCTTGAAGGGTCAAATAACCTGACCAAGATTACACACTCAAAAATTTTTTTAAATAAAATTTAAACCTAAATGAGTCTAGACTCATATTCCTAACTATAAGATATATTTAAATTTCTATTATTATTTGTGTATGCACAATGTATGTGAGCATGCTATTATTATTGTGTGCGCAGTGTGTGGGGACATATTACTACTGTGTGTGCACAATATGTGTGTGCATATTACTATTGTGTGTGCCACAGTGTGCATCGGAGGTCTGGTGGCAATTTTATGGAACTGATTACACCCCTTCCACCTTTACATGGCTCCAGGGATCAAATTCAGGTGACCAGGCTTGCAGGGCAAGCATTGTTACTCACTGAGCCATCTTGCCAGCCCCAATACAGGATAGTTTTGTTTTTTGTTTTTTTTTTTAATTATGAGGATGCATTTGTGTTGGGTTGAGGGATGAGGTGTGCACATGAATGCAGGTGCCATCTGAGGTCAGAAGAGGTTGCAGGATCACCTGGAGTTGGAGTTATAGGCTGCTGTAAGCCATCTGACAAGCGCACTGGGAACTGAACTCAGGTCCTCTGCAGGAACAGGCCATGCTTCTGTTCTCAAAAATAACAGAACATATAGGCTCACTATGTAGTTGTGACTGGCCTGGAACTAGAACTCGCTATGTAGGCCA